AGGAAAAAAGGCAAGAACAACCCAGCAAAACAAAGAAAAGATTCAATAAAATAAAGAAATTGTCACACTGAATATCAAATACAGCAGGCTATAGAATGTCAAAAAAGAAGGAGCTGGATTATTTTGTCGATATGAAAGAGAGAGAGAGTGTGTTCTCTGTGTAATTTCTGCATTTCTCGCTGAGATAATTGTATCATCTACAGCCACGGGAGAGGTTCTAGAAGACTGGAGATTTGGCTAATGTGGTGCCATTATTTAAAAGAGGTTGTAAGGAAAAGCCAGGGAACTATAGACCGGTGAGCCTGACATCGGTGGTGGGCACGTTGTTGGAGGCAATTCTGAGGGACAGGATTTACGTGTATTTGGAAAGGCAAGAATTGATTAGGGATAGTCAACATGGCTTTGCGCGTGGGAAATTGTGTCTCACTAACTTGATTGAGTTTTTTGAATAGGTGACCAAGAAAACTGATGAAGGCAAAGTGTTGTCTATATGGACTTCAGTAAGGTGTTTGACAAGGTTCTGCATGGTAGACTGATTAGTAAGGTTAGATCACATGGAATCCAGGGACAGCTAGCCAATTGAATACAAAAATTTGCTCGAAGGTAGGAGACAGACAATGGTGGTAGAGGGTTGCTTTTCAGACTGGAAGCTTGTGATCAGCGGTGTGCCACAAGGATCGGTGCTGGGTCCACGGCTTTTCATCATTTATACAAATGATTTGGATGTGAATGTAGGGGGTATGGTGAATAAGTGTGCAGATGACACCAAAATAGGTGATGAAGTGGACAGTGAAGAAGATTATCTCAGACTACAAACGGGACCTTGATTAGATGGTCAATGGAGCGAGGAGTGGCAGATGGAGTTTATTTTAAATAGATGTGAGGTGTTACATTTAGGTAAGGCAAACCAGGGCAGGAGTTAATGGTAGGGCCTTGGGCAGTGACTGAGGGGTGCAAGTGCATTGTTCCTTGAAAGTGGACTCGCAGGTAGACAGGACAGTGAAGAATGTGTTTGGCACGCTTGCCTTCATTGGGCAGAACATTAAGTATACGAGCTGGGAGGTCATGTTGCGGCTGTACAAGACATTGGTGAGGCCACTTTTGGAATACTGTGTACAGTTCTGGTCACCGTTCTACAAAAAAGATGTTCTTAAACTTGAGAGGGTGCAGAAAAGATTTACAAGGATGTTGCTGGGGTTGGAGGGTTTGAGCTATAGGGAGAGGCTGAATAGACTTGGGCTTTTTACCCAGAGTGTCGGAGACTGAGGGGTGACCTTAAAGAGGTTTATAAAATCGTGAGGGGCATGGATAGGGTAAATAGCCAAGGTCTTTTTCCCAGGGTGGGGGAGTCCAAAACTAAAGGGCATAGTTTTAAGGTGAGAGAGGAAAGATATAAAAGGGACCTAAGGGGTAACTTTTTCATGCAGAGGGCAGTGATTGTATGGAATGAGCTGCCAGAGGAAATGGTGGAGGCTCGTAGAATTACAGCATTTAAAATGCATTTGGATGGGTACATGAATAGGAAGGATTTAAAGGGATACGGGCCAAATGCTGGCAAATGGGACAAGGTCAGATTGGGATGCCTGGTCAGTGCAGTTGGACCGAAGGGTCTGTTTCTGTACTATATGACTGTATGACTAGTAAACTGAATGTAGGCTTGGTTTATTTGAACAGATGTTGCAGGGATTTCTCATCAGACAGTATTTATGATGAAATACCAGCAACTGTTGTTCACTCACACACACACACAGCAGAACATGTTGTAAATTAACCTTTGCAATGGTTGGACAGTCAGAATTTCTGCATGCCGGTTGTGTGCTGGTTTGTATGTTCTCTCTTCAAGTGATATCACAACAAGAATCTCTTGAGCCTGCAGACCAACCTCCATGTAACAGGGCCTGCACGCATACATCAACTGGCAAAGATCATGGGAGAGGGAGGAGGAGCAAACCTTCCCAAGCTGGGGAACAAAGGCACGCTTGTGGTCCCTTCACTGTTGCCCCAAGGTCGTGGTGGATCCTCGACTTTCCCGGGCTCACTCCCACATTAGGCAGGACTGTAGTGACAGCACAGGGACTGAGTTTGGACCTGTTTATGGTGAGTTTATGGTGAACTCTTGCCGATCCATTCTCACTGAAGAAAGCAGTAGTCATTCCTGGAAGCGAACCAGGATTGTTCTCAAAGTGGTCCCGTCACATTGGCAGTGGTGGAAGAAGGAAATGCAAGAGCCTCAAGAGCTGCCTTCCAACTCTGGTGCAGTTCAGATCACTGGTCGTATCAAAAACAAGATGCTTCCCCCGCCCCCCCCACTACCAGACGCATAACTACCCCTTTCTGTCACTCTGTCACATCATTCCAACAACAGCTTGCTTTTAGCCAACACCCCTGGTGTATTCAGGCATCCTGCTTTGCAGGAACGACTATAATCAATGTTGGGCAGGTGACTGACAACTTGGCCGAGGAAGAAAGTTTCAAAGAGAACAGTTAAGGAACGAAATTCTGGAGCTCAGGCAGCTGATGGAGTGAACACCAACAGTGAAGCATTTAAAACAGGAATGTGGGAACTGTTCAAATTGGAGGAGGGGATCTCCAAGCAGCTTGAACACAGAAATGTTGAGCTCAGTGCCACCTGGCAGCATCACCTCAAGGTGACCTGTCAGGATGAGGTCCGGGGGTATTTGTGAATGCTATGCTGCTGTCATCCTTTTACAGAGATGTTCTCAAATACCTGCAGCACATGAGCAGTCCTGTGTTCCCTGTTTATGCTACAGTCAAATCTCCTTCCACACTTTCAACTTGTTATGGATCAGACCAGACCCCCTCAAAATATTTTAAGATATAGCCTAGACCCTAGCGTTTTTTTATTTCAAAGGCAGATGTGAAGCGACTGGTCCAACTACTCGACGTTAAGCAAAAGACAATTTATTTAAACACTGTAGCTAAAATACAAAACGAAAGGGGAATGTAGAATAACCTATTGGAAAATTTAGCAGAATAATAGATACAGTAACTATTACTAATGAACTGTTCCAGTATAGTAACACGCCATAAACACACCCCTTGGCAAAAAGGCACATCCAGACACAAATTTTCACATGCAGTTCTCCAATCCAGGAGGGAAAATCATCAAGAGAAAATTCAGAGAGAGTAGCGGCGAGAAGATATTGCTGAAGCTTCCAACTCTTGGCTTCTGCTGAGAACGAAACCTAAAAAATTTTTAAAAATCTAGAAAGCCAGGTGCGAGAGAGCTGGTCCCACCCAGGCTACTTCCATTGTTTCAACATTTAAAAAAAAACCAAGGCCTCACAAGTTGTTTACTTTCTTAGAGACAGCTATGTATCACTGCCTTACAACCTCACTTCAAAAAAATGGGACAAAATAACCACTTAAAATGACAGCATCATCACACCTTCAACATGGTCTGCTCTATTTGCCCTCATGTGCTTATTGAAATTCTCTTTCAATCTGTCTATACAATTAGCCTCAGATGCTGGTTGTGAGTTCTCTGGGTAAAGAAGAGTCTCCCTAAGTATATTTCCTGTTGGATTTGTTAGTGACTCCCTCAAACCTGTGGTCTGCAGTCCTTGCCTCACCCACAAGTGGAAACGTCCCTGCCCTCATTCTCAACAAGAGGGGCTGCCCTCTGGAGTTTGGAGTGGGAAAGCCCCCACCCTCCGAAGGACGTGGGAAAGGAGGCTTCTGGTTCCAGCTCTCAGCTTTACTGAGCAAGAGAAAGTTGGAGCAGGCTGGGGGTAGAGCGCTGATGGAAACTGCAGGATTTGGAACTTCCCTGCCCTCGTTAAGACCATGGTTTTATTTGTCATTTCAGGGCAAGTTGGATGCACTGTGGGTTCTCCTGCGGAAAGGCTATGACCGGGTTTCCGTGATGAGACCTCAACCTGGAGACAAGGTACAGTACGACTCTGACCAGTTGCTGAAGCCGGGATGATGCACTTGCCATGCAATTGCGTTCTATCCTTCCGGGGTGCGGGGAGCATGCTATACTGACCGTTGGCATGTCTGCTTCATGTTACCGATGCTGCTTCTTGGAGGAGGCAGAGACAACCCAGCCCCATTTACCACCACCCCCACCACCACCCTCCTAACTCTCCTTTGTCACAGGCTTTCAAGTGTCAAGTCCACAACTGGACCCTTGCTGGTGCTGTGGTAATGCACAACAAGAGGGCCAATTCCAGAAGACCTCCTGTCTGCAGTTGATTGTAGCAGCATGCCCGGGTGGGTCATGAGTAACTCTCAGCGTAGGCCCAGCCAGGGGGTTGGCAAACCTCTCAGCGTGGCTCCATCAATGAGCTCCCGAATTAGGAGGCAGGAAGTGGCTGTGCTCTGTCATCAATCATGTGTTTAAGTCTGATGGGCGACTGTGGTCGGTGTTATCTGGAGGAAGATAATGATTTGTGTTTCCAAGTTACCCACATGACAAACAAACAAAAAAAAATTCTCGGAAAAAGAAAGATGAACAAGGAAAAAACAGAAACAAAAGGTTCCATGAAAAGTTGTAAATCGAGGGCAGTTGCATAAATTTCAGAATAGTCAAAGCCAAGCAGTCATGTGAGCCCAGTTTTGACTGATGATGTCAATGGAGAGGGAGAACAGCTGGTTCTCATAAGCTCAGTAAAGCTTTGCACACAGAGAAATCATCAGAAACAGCAACCACTCTCAAGGGCTTTGCTCCACAACACAAAGCAATCACTACCTTCAGTTGCTCTGAAAAAGAACTAAAACGCATTTTGCAAGTCCAGGCTGAAAATGGAAAATATGAAGTTAGTCAGCGGTTACCTATATAACTTCAGAGAGGGTCTGGCTGCTCTATCAGAGCGTTTCCTCTCTACAAGCCTCACCCAGGAATCCTTGTTCGCTATGTCCTGAGGTGCTGCCTTTCTTCCTTCTGCCTGCCAGCCTGCTCCAGCTTTCACAGAACAGTGAACTGCAGCAAGGGGAGGTCACTTACACTTTCGTGGTTTTCAAGTTGTGGTTTGTCTGATTTCCAGCCGAGTACCTGTGGGCAGTTTGCAGTTTTGACTGAGTCAACCTCAGCTGTGTCAGAGAAATAGAGAAACCTGCTGCAAGGAGTGGGCCATTCAGCCCATCGAGCTTGCTGCACCGTTCAGCAGGACCGGGACTCATTCCCTCCACCTCAGCTCCCATTTATTGACCGCCATGCCTTTAATACGTCAAAATGTTTGTCTTTTTCTTGAAAATACTCACTGCCCCGCACCCCACCTCTGTCTGTCGCAGCAGATTCCACAGGTTTAAAGGGGAGAGGGGTCTGATTTAAAAGGGACCTAAGGGGCAACTTTTTCACACAGAGGGTGGTGCATGAATGGAATGAGCTGCCAGAGGAAGTGGAGGAGGCTGGTACAATTACAACATTTAAAAGGCATCGGGATGGGTACATGAATAGGAAGGGTTTAGAGGGATATGGGCCACATGCTGGCAAATGGGACTAGATTAATTTAGGATCTCTGGTTGGCATGGACGAGTTGGACTGAAGGGCCTGTTTCTGGGGTGTATATCTCTATGACTCAATGGCTGACCACCATCTGAGTTTTCTACATCGCCGTCTTCTCCCTATATCCTGAGCCTGTGGCTCCTGGTTCACCCCCATTGGGTGGAGGAGGTGGGGGAATGATCACCCTCTCTCTGCGTCTAGTCTGTCCCATCCCACACTCCTTTTTTCTCCCCCTACTTTCTCATACTGCTCTTCCACTTCCATTGATTTACTCTGGCCCCTCCCTCTCCCCCATTACACCCGTTACTTCATTTTGTCTCTCCTTGTTCATTCCCCCCCCAAAAAAAGGGATCACACTTCTCTATTAAAAAAAAACCAAAGCCCTGGATCACTGGACCTGAAATGTTAACTCTGTTTTCTCTCTGCAAATGCTGCCGGACCTGCTGAGTTTCTCCAGCAATTTCCATTTTTCTTTCACACTTCTCTCTCTCACAGTCCTCTTTCCAATTCACAATGTGTCAGGTCAACAACTGAGATTGAACTGCTATCTTTTACATCGTATTTTACAAGAAAAGCAGCAGTTCCCATGTGGACCCACTGTCTGTCTCTCTGCAGACTGGAAACCACCATTCACAAGCACTCCCTGTTCCCTGTGAATCCACCAACTTGATTTCTGGGCTGCCACTGTCCCTTCTTTCCATGGTCTTTAGTTTTGCTGATGAGCAGAGTTGACATGGCTCTTCATCGAGCACATTTTGGAAGTCCACGTAAGCCACATTAACCTTCTCTGTTACAAGGAACCGTTAACAAATCTGGGTGCTGGCTTTTCTTGGCCAATCCACATTTGTCCAAGTGCGTGTGAATTTTGTTTCAAATTATGGTGTCTCAGAGCTCCCCTATCAGTGAGGTTCAAGTCCCAGGCTTGCGGTCATACATTTTCCTTTGGAGCAAAGGTATAGCCTTTGCGATTCTCCGGTCATCCAGCTCAGATGCCTCCTGTATCCCAGGAGGACTGGTGAACGAGTAACCTCAACTACTACTTACAGTTCCTCGATATCAGTCATGCATTCAGAGTGCCTTAGCTGCATGCTCACTCACTCAGACCTCTGCAGCATCTTCTTTCTTGGACAAAGACCAATGCAAAATATTCCCGTCATGTTTCAGCCATTAACACTGGAATGCATCAGAGGATTCAGTGGGAAGTCAGAATCAAAAAAATTGCAGAGGGACTGGTCAGAATCTTCCGGTTAGAGTCACACAGCACAGAAAAGATCCTTTGGCCCATTAAGTCTGCACATACGTACCTAAGCTCATCCCAGTTTCCAGCTAATACCCACTTGGCCCATAGCCTCAAATGTTGGGACATTTCAGGTCGTCATCTACGTACTGTTTTTAAAAGGTTGTGCAGTTTCCTGCCTCAACTACACATCCCTAGCCAGAGCACTCCAGATTCCCACCACCTTCTGGGTGAAAAAAAATTAGGTCAAAACTCCCTTTCAACCTCGTCCCCTTCAACTTAAAACTGTACCCCCTCATTATTGACCCTTCAACCAAGGGGAACAGCTGCTTCCAATCCACCTCTCCATGCTCCTCATAACTTTGTACAGCTCTCTCAGGTTCACCACCCCCCACCCCCCACTCCACCCCACTCCGCCTTCTCTGCTCTAAAGAAAAGAAACCTGAGCCTATCCAGCTTCCCCTGTTTATGAAAATGCTCCATCCCAGACACCGTCTTGGTAAATCCCCTCCCCCGAGACAGAGAGGCATTACACAATTGAAAGATGAGGTCCTGTGCCCCGAGCTTCATTGGAACAGCCCAAACAGGGGTGAGAACAGACAGGGCAGAGTGGCCGAGGTAGCAGAAGAACCCAATGCCATGTAATGAGAAGCTCAGATTAGAAACAGTACCAGAAGGAACTTCCAGTGTTAGTCCCAAGGAAAGCCTGCCCTAAGTTCTTGAAGAATCGAAACACAGAATCTTCCTTGGAACAATTGCATTTGACTCAAAATTGTATCCCCAGCGACCCCCCATGCAAGATCCAAGTCTGCCGTTTGTTTTGACCCTTGCAGACAGTGATACTGAGTCTGAATTTCTGAGTGATGTCTGGGAAGGATCGCATGGCAAGATTGCAGACTGAACATTTTATTGTATCAGACAAAAAGTAACATGGTCTATAGGCTAAGCCACAGCAAATTTTCCCCATTTAACATGCAAACGGTCAGAAAATCCCCTGCCACAGTGAAGGCAACCCTCTGTCTTGCCACAGCTAGCTGAAGGTTCCAATCTTGTTTAAATCCTCACAAGCCTGGTGTCTTCGATGCAAATGTGAACATGCACAGTGGACTAGGCAAGCTGGCTGCTTCTCTGTCTGTGTGTATCAGGTTCTTGCAGATTGACCTGGCTGTGAAGTGTAGAGATATCTTCAGAGAAACCTTTTAACCTTGACACCATTCAGGACGAGCAGCCCACTTCATTGGCACCACATCCACAAATATCCACTTCACCACCGACACTCAGTACACACTGCTGCTTCTGCCTACAAGATGCACCGCAGAAACTCACCAAACATCCTTAGACAGCACTTTCCAACCCTTGACCACTTGCATCTAAAAGGACAAGACCAGCAGATATATGGAACACCACCCCCTGCAAGTTCTCCTCCAAGCCACTCACTATTCTGACTTGAAAAAAAATTACTGTTCCTTCACTGTCACTGGGTCAAAATCCTAGAATTCCCTCCCTACCAGCACTGGGTCTACCTACAGCATGTGGACTGCAGCGGTTCACGAGGCAGCTCACCATCACTTTCTCAAGGAGCAAGAAAGGATGGGCTATAAATATTGACAGAGGCAGTGATGCCTACATCCCACAAGTGAATAAAGAGAGAGAGTCAGGCTCCCACACGTAGAAGTCTTTGACTTCTGTAACACAAACAGGAAATGGTAGAGAAATCGTCCGAATGAGATAGTTGAGCAGTTGTTGACTCTGAGGGGTTTTTGAAGGGATGGAGGTGGCGTGACAGGGTCTGTTGTTGATGGTAAGTAGTGGAGGCAGTGTTCTTTCTGGCTCAAGTTAACAGGAGCAGCAGATTCCTGTTGCTGTTGTCATGGCGACAGAAAGGTTGCTTGCCAAAGTGAAGTAAGGCTGGATTTTGGCAGCTTTGCATCCCCCGCCCCCCCTGCATCATCAGCAAGGGACACAGGCAGCAAAGAGAGTGGTCTCTGGCCTGGAGAGCGTGAACATCCATCCAAATGGAATTGTTTTCACTGAAAGGATTTGAGGCTTATAATAATGCTCACCGAGACTCAAACTTGCTAAACTATTTGGAATGCAGCGCTGGAAGGCAGAATTATTTTGCGAGGCCACATTTAAAAAGTTATTGAGCCTGCAGTGCAGAATTTCTCCTCTGCACCCTACCCCCTCTTCCCATCGTCAGTAA